TTCTGTAATATTTTGGTGGCTCCTTGGTCATGTATAGAAAGGACAAGCATGTGACACTGTCACTGTGACTGTGTGGTTGTGTGTGCATGGCCACGTGCTTGTGCTTTCACAGACACATGTACACACCCACACAGGGACATGCATATATGCACAGGTGCACCCCTGTATATAAACACACATACACACACAAATGAAGTGAGGAGTCATGTGATTGCAAAAAATAGGTGAATGCACATTATAAAGTTATAAAATAGCAGTCTATGAAAGTTTGACATATCTCTTACATGATGTGATGTTTTTAAGAAAGAAAGTGTTTATTCAAAGAACTTGCTTATAATACAAGATATAGGCATGGAAAACCAATCAAACAATGTAGGCATACACCTTTCCTTTCAATGAGCCAATAGCAATTTGAAGATCACAATGCACAATGTACTGGACATCGTTACTCTCCCGCAATCTTGTTTCTAAATTTTATATCTTTGTTTATATTGCTTATTTTTCTTTTCTTTAAAATAAAAAAAAATTCATATATTTAAAGGTATTAATTTTTCCAAGAAAATTTATCATCAGTCTAGTGCCTATAGCCAAAAGACCAATGTAGAAGTTATAGCACAAGAGGAAACAGATTATAAAAAGTTAAGAAAAAGTATCGACACTAGTACAAGTTAAGAGGTTCTCTTTTGAAACAATTTTGAAGCAAGAATAGATGGGACTTGGTGATCCCATGAATAATTGAAAGTATTTTTATTGGTGCTGTGAATTTTATAAATAGATTTTAATAGAGTACAAGAAGTATTGTTTTCAATGTAAAGTATTTAGAATTAAAGTTATTCTATAGAAATGAAAGGAATAATTTATTCATTAGTCAGGAGTTTATAACTAGGTTAGTACTGAAGATGAATAAATGATGCATGAATCACAGTATTGTTATTTGGGCATATCTGAAACCAAGGAATACTCACATTTAAATTTTGATATATTTAAAACATAAAAATTGCTAATGAATAATTTATAAGCAGAAGCACTGAGACTTCTTAAAAAGAATACAGCATCATTTGAAAAGTTACACACTAAGGGAATTGCAAGGTTATATGTATGCATGGCAAAAAATAAACTCAAGATAATATTTCAAGATATAAACATAACAGTCTAGTTGGAAATTTCCATCTTTACCTGTGGCATACGCTACACTGAACCACAATGAAAAAATCTGAATAATTTAGACAAATATTGAGGTCACACTCTTCCACAATTTTTCAGCTATTTATAATAAATCACCAACTTATTTCTTTGTAATTAAACAAACTTGTATTTTGGAACCATCGTTTAAAATATGAAGGTGTTTTATGAAAACTCAGTGTAGAAGTAGAACAATAGCTAACTCATTTGCCATTGTTTGCCATGATATGTGCATATATGTGCATTTAATGTTAACACCAGCATTTTACTTAGCATTGTTTTTTATAAAATCTATTTCTAAATTATTGAATAATTTACTTTACCTTAAACTGAAAGCCATTTATGAAAGCCATTTATGGCAAACCAACTACCAATCCCATACTAAATGGGGAAAAACTGAAAGCATTCACTCTAAACAATTCAACAAAAACTCTAATATTGATTTGCAGTGCTTAATTTGTTGTAAAAAGATAATTTCAATCTTGTTGCTAGCGTAGAGTGAAATTGGAGACATTCTTCATGATAGTATAATTGTAGAAGATAACCATAAGTTGACAAATATAAAAAGTCTGATTTAGAAAATAGACCATTTTAAGATTTTCTTCACAAAGATCTACAAAGAAGCTAAAAAATTAGGATTTATTGCAACCCAAAGGTATATACTGAAAAACTTGGAGAAGTATCATTTTGTTGATAATTCAAAAATTTTTAAATGTTTATTAACTATGACATTAAATAAATGAAGGCACAACTTTCTATGCCATTGTGTTATGTTTAAAAGATATATAACCCAGGTTAATTTTCAATGCATAAGAAAGCAGTATATTTAAATTTTGAATGTTTTAATAGCAATCAAACTACAAAGTATAAATTTTCCTTACCTCTTTTTATATTGTCCTGGCTCCTAAGACAGTTATATTGCTAAATATTTATTAAATAGGTGTGACACACGCAAAAAGGAGACAAAGATTTGTCACATGGACTCTTATTTCCATCATAGGCCATAAGAGAAACAGAAGCATCCATTCATGATGACAACTATGGTGAAAATAGATATAGCAAACCCTTACCTCAAAGCGATGAAAGCCATTTATGGCAAATTGACTACCAACACCATACTAAATGGGGAAAAGCTGAAATCACTCACTCTATACGACAGGCATCAAACAAGGGCATCCATTCTCACCACTCCTGTTCAATACAGTACTTGTATCTTTAGCCAGAGTAATTAGGGGAAGGAAAAGAGGAAAAAGGATTGGACTGAGTGGAAGGAGTCAAACTATCCTTATTTGCAGGTGATACGATTTGTACATAGAAGACCCAAAACAAACTCCACCAGAAGGCATCTAGAGCTAACAAAGAAATTCAGCAAAGTTGCAGGATACCAAAGTATTCAGTAACATTCCTGTATACCAACAATGAACCCAATAAGAAATCAACATCAGGCAAACAATTCCATTCATGGTAGCTTCAGAAAAGATTACATTGGTTTAGTTTTCTTTCCTGTATGATCCTTCATTTTCTTTGTTCCCTTCTTTCTTTGCTTTCTTCCTTTTCCCTTCTTCCCTCTTTCCTTCCTTCCTGTCCCCCCTTTCCCTTTCTCTTACCTTCCCCTGCCTTCCACCTTATACTTCCTGTCTTCTCTCACCTTTTATGTCTCCCTCTGGGATTTATTCTTCTTCTTCTTGCTCTACAGTGGGGAAGCATTTGTTCATTTCTTAGTTACAGCATGTGAACTTGTAAAAATGAGGAAAACATGTTTGAACTGAGAATTCTGTTTGAGGCACAACCCACAAAGACAAGCACCCTTCTGGGTTTCATGGTCATCCTCATCCTTATCTTCTTGTTTCTCCCCACCTCCTGCCTCCTGCCTCCTCCCTCTCCTCCTCCTCCCCCTCGCCCTCCCCTTCTGTCTTCTCCTCTTCCTTTATAAAGTGTGAGCCATAGTTGAAGCAGATCTATGGCAGCAGTAGTTCATATAATGCAAGAGAAAGGAGGATGAGTGGGTTGAGAAGGATGTTTTCTCTAGTAAGATTATTATTTTAAAAATAGAGCTCTACTATAAATAAAGCTGCATAAATAAAACTCATTTACATTAAAACCTATAGAAATTAAAACCTACAGAAATTTACATTAAAACCTACAGTATTATAATGTTGCAGATATATGAGAATTTAGAAATTATAGACTTTGAAGTACAAAGATAATAGATAAAATCAGAAAAGGATAATAGGTGAAATGCTGGCTGACTTCCTTTATGCACCTGACTGCAGAAAGATAGTTTTCACTTTAAGAAGGGTGCCCAAGTCCATGAGATCAACGAGCTTCCACATAGCCTGCACAAAAATATCACTTGACACCTTGAAAAAATTGTCCATGCAGGAGGTAAGAACACGTCTCAGCTTTCCTGCACAGCCCTGGTTTGCATCATCTCTCAGCTCCATTTCTTTCAGTTACTTTAGAGTTTATTACTTTTAGTAATGTCCTGATTGGAAATTATGGTCACCTGATCAATATGGAGCAGCCTAAGGAAGATGAAGAAAGAAGACACTATCTAAAACCAGTGTAAAGAATGAGGCTCTAACTCATGGGTGAAAATGATTGTTTGAAAACCCTGTATAGTAAAAAAAAAAAAAAAATAGTAGAAAGCATGCAGATTACTGTTTCAAATTTTTAAAATATTTATAGATTTTAACCATAACCATATTGATATTTGTTTCTTCACGATTTTCATAAAATTGTGACACCAACTTTATGTCTTTGGTTATTATTAAAAGAGACTTTTTCTGGTACTTTTAACAATCGTTAGTGCTTGCCCTTAGGTAAATTTAACTATAGTTTCCTGGAAATAGTTTCTAGGCTGAGTTTGTCTTGCATAATCCATAGTGCAGAAAAATCTCCAGTTAATCGGAAGTCTAGTAAAGAATGCATTTTCCAGACTCTGCTGCCTGATATGGAGTCCCAATTTAATATTATCTGGTAGTTTGACCTGCAAAGTGATGAACTTTTGTGAAACATGTGAATTACCAAACAGGTAAGTCATTGCGTTATTTTGGAATTAGGAAAAATAAATGTTGTAAAACTTTTAGGCATTCTTATTTATCAACATTTTGTTCTCTGTGCATTTTGAGAATATAAAGGAAGACATAAATTTCCTGTTCTAAAAGTGCTTATAATATCTACAAGCAATAGAGATACATGAGAAAAATTAGAATAATAAAATGTAAAATTTGGTGTAAGGATTGTGTAAGAAGAAATATCTTAATCTTTCTGAAAAAGTTACAGAAAACTTCACAGTGATGGAGAATTCAACACAGGCACAAGAGGTCTGAAGAAATACAAGAGGGCAGAAACAATAACTTGTATAAAATCTAAATTTTGCAAGGGAGCTTTCTCTTGCTTGGTAGTGCAATAAAATGTGCAAGGGCGAAGAGGTTGTCTGTGTCCTAGAAATAAAAGTATGTTTTGCTCCTTAGGTGATTTGGGACCACTGAGGAATATTTGAGGAGAGAGTTACGGGTGTAATTTCAAAGTTATCAACCTCAGGGCAAAGTTAAGTATAGATTGCAAAATTATAGAAAAGAGGTAGCTCATGGTATTTGTCATTTTGTTTGGTGAGATTATGACAAGCGACATTAAAGTAAGATGAATGACATTAATAATTCTTGCTGAAAATCACTGAAGCTGTATAGAGTAAGAAATGCAGTTTGTGCACAATTTTATTGTTATGCTCTAAGTATTCTGAAAAGTTCTACTTCATTTGTTAGATTCTAATGTAACATATCTCAGGTAGCATGTAACATCTTAATTTTTTTCAGACATCCTGTGACAGGAGTGTTTCAAAGGGAAACACAAGAGGACATTTGAAGAAACTCCTAAAAATCAGTCAGTAGTTGCTTCTCTTCTTGACCTGCTTTCTTATCTTAGTAAGTATGTAGCATGTAGCTGGATATGACTGTTTCTACAATTTATATTTAATAAAGATGGTTACACACAGGTGATATGGCTCTTGCAAAAAATTTCTATTGATTTTTATAGAAAGTTGTGTTTACTCCATAGTAAAATATGAAACTATGTAAATCCAACATACAATTATACAATAGCAATTTTGCTAGTCATGTCCTGCAAATATTCAAATACATATATGCACGTTGATTCAGTATTTATAAAGAATTGGCATATTAACAGCAAGTTTGGTATAATATTATTGCATTTGTTCTAAAATATTCTAACCATTCATGAAATCCCAGATTTCAACTGGGAAAACTCTCTTAAGGCATCTATTTTACATTGTATGCAGATTATACTGGAAGAGAACGAATTTATCCCATTTTGACAGGAGAATGTATAAAACATGCCTTAATAGCTCTCTTTCCATCTCAGTAACCCTTCAAAACAAAGGTTCCTTTTGCCTGTACTGGTGAATATTGAAATGAAAATTAAAGATTCTATTGTATTATTCAAAACTACTGACATTGGCTCAAGGGCCAATATCTTTTGTCCTTGTTTAACCCTTTCAGGCAAATTCTCTGGTATATATTAAAATATGGCTTACTATCACTAGGAGAAAATTACCATATTATCTATTTATCTGAATGTTTGCTTTTATTGCCTCCTTTGGGTTAGAATCCAAACTCATTCCAAAGTACAATGCATTGTCTTTTGAATAGGATATAACTATGCTATAAACTTACCGGAAATTTTTGAGCTAATTTTTGAGCTAATTTTGAGCTAAACTTTTGAGCTAATTCATTTTGAAATTAAGTTGCACATTTATCCATTTTGTGTAACTTTTTAAATATTGCCTTGATTTTCTTAGTTATTTCTATTATCAATTATTGATCAATTATAGTTCTTAGAAGTGAATAATTAAATTAATTGAAAATAGAAGGCATATAGAGAACTAAGAAATTGAAAAGTTTCTTAAATTTTCAATTACTTAGAAAATGCATGAATGTATAAAGTATGTTACCATATTTGTTAAAAAATTGTTTATCTTGCTCATCATAAAATAAAATATAAGTTTTCATAACAGTAAATAATTCAAAATTGAGGGCTGGGGGTATAGCTCAGTGGCACAAGCACCTGCCTGGCAAGCACAAGCTCCTGAATTTGACTCCCACTATCAAAAAAAAATAATAATTGAAAGATGATTTAAAAAAATGCTTGTAAATAAAATACTAAACTTTCCCATTTATTTTAATATGCATGTTGTACAATGTAATAGTAGAATTTAACATTTAAAAGATTTAAATTTTGAAGAGTAGACCTCTCCCATAACAGTTAGAATATAGAACATCTATTTATTCTGTATCTTTTCCCTTTCTAAATTTAGAAGCTAGTAAATAGTGTCTATCTTTAAGATAACCCACAATGAATTTGGTAAGCTTGGAATCATTTATACTAGCTCAATAAAGATTCCAAAAGATACCATATATACACAATTTAATTAATGAATTTGGTTTAATGAAAATATTTATTTCCTAATTTTAAAACTCTTATGATTAACAATCTCTAATAACTAAAATGATATAGATGGAAAATCAATGTTCACAGTATATTTGTGATTATGAATAGGTGCTTTATAATACACTTTAGACATTTTAAAAATTATCTTTCACAAGCTAATGTGAAATTCATGTTAAGTATATTTTCACACCAAGGTGACTTTTACAGTAAGTTTTTACTACAGGTTCACTTCACAATATATACATGATCATCAGAGTTTTAGTGACCAATTGGAGTCTAATCTGGTATTCTGTTCACACAAGCGGTTTCTCACCAGATCTGACATTGATCATCTGTCAATTTGATTTGTAAATCTTACAGGACTCGTCGTAAACAAAATAACTAAATGTTTGCAAACCCACAGAGAAAACACTACAGGTCTGCATTTTATTTGTGTTTGACATAAGCATTCTTTTCAATCAAGTTTAAAAATAGAAGAAAAATGTAATATTCTTCGCTTTTATAAATTCTCACCAGATGACTGGATTTAAGTATTTTAATTTAAAAGCAACTAATCTAAATGGAGGAAGGGCTTGCTCTGTGAAATAATAAAATCAGGCTGTGGTGCCTATAACAAGCATATATTAACGAAGACAAGAAATCATCATGTCATTTCATCTGTCTTAGTCAGAACCTGTCAGTATGTTCAATGCCTAATAAATTATATCCCCAAAATTTATAAGCAAAACAACACATCTTCAGAACCTTCACATAAAGACAATATGTGATACTTCACAGGCGGTGTATTGTCTTTGTTATTGTAAACAATATGAAAATAACCAATATGATTTACATTTTACAAAGAGCTGCTTGAAAGACCTGTCCACCATATGAGCATCCTGTAGCAACACAATGATACAGTGTGTGTGTGTGTGTGTGTGTGTGTGTGTGTGTGTATTAGGAAGGGCAAAGAATGAATAGGGTAAAGGTCATTATTTAGGAGAAAGACTAATATTTCACATAACATATCTGAATAATTCTTATTTGTCTAACAAAAGAGCAGTGCTATACACAAAAATAGTTGACTACTAATGAAAGGAAATACTTATCTTCTGTGTATAGATAAGTGGTGTGGAAGTTAAGGTGGAATTTTAACTTCCACCTTAACGGGCTAGGATCTGCCCTTAGAGTGGAGAAACACACTTCAAGTTGTGTCTGGAATGGTCATGGAGGAGGGGCCTTGAGATATATTTTAGTCTCTTATCCCTCTTTCTGGCATTCCCTGCCACCTCTGGAATTCCCAGCATCCTTGTCCCAGCTCACACTTCTGCCTGATTGTCTCTGCTGTGGATCCAGCAGATCGCAGACGGAAACCATGAACAAATTCAACCTCTCCCCCTTTAACATGTGGGTGTTGTGTATGATGTCTCTGATAAGTTTCTGCCTATATAAATTTCTGTCAAGTCATCATAGCAGTGAGCCAACATGGCGTGCCTCAGACAGGACCACGTGTCTCTTACAGACCAATTTCCACCCCTCTATTACAACTTCCTGTTTTCTTTTGTATATGGCAACCAATCATCATCCATTATGTCTCTTAGACCGTGCCATGAACTCTACCCACAATCTAGCGCAATATATTTTTCCCCAGCCACCGCCTTCAGAAGGTCCTTGCCTTTGTCTGTCTGTCTGTCTGTCTCTGCAGCTTTTACTTGCTTGGCAATAAAGGTTCTTTTTACTTTGTTTTGCCTCTTACTAGCGCCAAACCTAACAGTCTCAGTGATAACACACCTGCTTCACGCAGGAAATTGTTACTGCTGTTACTGGAGTGGGATCACTGCTGTGAATGTATCTTCCCGTGTGGGTGAGAAGGCTTTGATAATGGTTTGAGGAAGCATTTGGAAAAGTGTGGAGATGCCGGCTAGAGAAGCTTTAGAGAAGCTAAAGTTGCCGGATAGCGAAGCAGTAAGTGGGAGCCTGGGGTGGTTATGATTGGAACTCAGAAAATCCGAAGGCTGATAGGCATAAAAACAGGCTGGGGAGTTTTCACTGGCATTTGAGTTTTCCTGAGGCAGAAACTACCTATGTTTTACTCACGTCCTGAGACTTTCAGCAAATGAGATTGAAGGCAATAAACTAATTGCTTGGTATAGGAAATTTCATGATACCCCAACGTTCAGACAGTGATGTGGATACTGACGGTTGCTTTTTGCTTTCTTTAGACTGAGAACAAGGGTAAAAGGCGGAGTAGAAAATTTTAAAGAGTTAAAATATGGCCCAGAGAAATCCGTGTAAGTTGGGGCCAAAGTGTGGCTGCTAGAGTTTAGTACCATTAAAAAATTTTCCACAGGGATACGAAAAATGGAAATCTCAAGAATAAGCAAGATTTCACCTACTGCTGAATCAAGATTGCCAAGAGATAAACCTTTCTTTTGAAAACAGTGTGCCAGCGACTCCTGTTTGAGAAAGGGCTCCTGAGGAATCAGTTCTCTGGTGTTTATTTCACTGTGCCCAGCCACCCACACACTCAGATATTACCGTAATCCTGATCTAAGCGGGCCTGCCTAAAGCCGTGCTTCCTGAAAAATTTTGATGTTATCCAACTGAGGCTGGTTTTACCAGCATGCAGAATGCAAGAGTTGTGGAGATAGGGGGGGCTTCCACACGGATTTCAAAGGAAACTCAGGGAGACCACGCAAGGAACCCCTTACAAGGCCACATGTTAAGCTGTGGGAATGAAGCCAAGTAGGCAATGAAGACTGCAGAAAATCAGAGATGTCAGGATCGAAAAATATCTGCTGAGGAAAGCTGCAGGCTGTAAGTGTAACCAAACCAAGAAAGAGGGTGTATGGCCCGCAGCAGCCAAGATCTTAGAAGTAGGGTTCCCCAAACTGTTCAGAGTATGCGTTATTACCATCAAGTGCTCCAGCTGCTAAATATGGAGCTGCAATATTAATATTCACCCTTCTGTATTTTGATCCAGCCTTAGTCCAATTCTTTTCTTCCCCTGTTTCTCCCTTTTGGAATGGGGTTGATTACTCTGTGCCATCATTTCTTGAGAGAACGTAACTTGCTTTTGATTTGTAAAGAGAGTCACAGCTAAGTTTGGCTTGGTTTGCAAAACAAAAGAAAACAAAAACAAACTTGAACTTTTGAACAACGCTAGGGTAATGGTATTATGAGTTTGCTATTGTCGCTAGTTAGCAATTAAGGGTGGTTGAAGGAGTTTAATTTGGATAGATAGTTGATAAAGATTGGAACATTGCAGGTACAGGGAGTTCCAAAGGACTGGCTTTGAAATCCTCTTCAGGCATTAGTTGCACCCACTTCTGAGTGTGTCTGGGAGGGTCCTAGAAGCTTGGCTTGTGTCTGTATCAGTCCTTTCACCCCTTCATTTCTGGCACTCGTCTTATCTCCTGCTTCCTGACAGCTATGAACTAAGTAACTTTGCTCCACTGTACATTTCCACCCTGATGTCTGTGTTGGAGCCAGATCATCATGCACTAAAACCTGGAGCAAGTCTTTCCCCTTTGAACCTAGGGGT